GGTGTGGTTCCGCTCAGTGCTGGTTAGGCCTCAGTTTCCCATGTCCAGTTCTGGGCACCACATTTCAGGAAATATGTGGAGAAATTGGAGAAGGTCCAGAGAAGGGCAGAAAAAATGAAGAAAGGTCTAGAGAACAGGAGCTATGAGGGAAGGGTGAAAGAACGGGGTTTGTTTAGTTTGGAAAGGAGAAGACTGAGAGGGGACATGAGAGCGGTTTTCAAGTATCTAAAAGGGTGTCACAAGGAGGAGGGAGAAAAATTGTTCTCCGTGGACTCTGAGGACAGGACAAGCAGCAATGGGCTTAAATTGCAGCAAGGGAGGTTGAGGTTGGACATTAGGAAAAACTTCCTACCTGTCAGGGGGGTGAAACACTGGAATAAGTTGCCTAGGGAGGTTGTGGAATCTCCATCACTGGAGATATGGAAGAGCTGGTCGGACAGACGCCTGCCAGGGATGGTCTAGACAGTGCTGGGACCTGCTATGAGGGCAGCGGACTGGACTTGATGACCTTGCGAGGTCCCTTCTCATTCTAGGATGTTTTACAGCTCTAGAGCCCTGACTCCGTGGCTACAGGGACACTCACACCGAGGTGCCCACTGGCAGGGGGTGTTGGCCGAGGCCAGGCCAAGGGCTAAGGTGAGGGACCCCAGTACTGATAGTTAGGGGCAAGCAACTCTTCTAGCAATACACGTTGCTTCTTAGGGGTGCCTGGTCCATCACCCAGACAAGCAAAACTCAGAGGGAACTTGTCAACGTCTGGGTCAGTACCTGGCCTACCTGTGGTCACGGCCTCTTGTCTGAGCCCCGGGTCTTCCAGAGGCCCCAGTCAGACCACAGTGAAAAACACTCTGGGTCAGACCAAAGGCCCGTCCAGCCTGGTGTCCTGTCGGCCCACAGCACCCAGTGCCAGGTGCCCCAGAGGGAGTGAACAGATCCGGGAATCATCCAGTGATCCCTCCCCTGTCGCCCACTCCCAGCCCCTGACACACAGAGGTGTCCAGCAGAGTCTCCCAGGACCGGTGTTTTATAAGTGATTCAGTGACTAGTGCAATTTTCAAAGGCCGAGACCCAGAAATCCTCTTGAATTCACTTGCAGTTCTTTACTTAATCTGCTGAAGTGCTTCTGGAATTGCCAGTAGACACCTATCTGCCTACCCTTAGACATCTGAGTGACACTGAACCTCTAGCCTCTGTCTCTTACACCACTTGTTACACTGCCAAAATTGTGACGCAGTTGCCTAACGTTCAACAGGCACTAAGGGCATGAATTGGATAGGTATGTGGGCACCTAACGGGAAGCTTGAATGCACTTGGACACCTAACACGCACTGACATGGGTGGATGTTGCCTCCCAGGTTCGCTGTGAATATTGCAACGGGCATGTCTCAGTCTGGCCTTTTGTGATTTTCAGGGAACCCAAACAATTGCTCACGGGTCAGTCTGCAAAAGAACGGAGATACAGGCTCAAGGCTCCCTAATGCCCCCTGCTTGTCTGTAGCGGATGACAGCGTCCATACCGAGCCAGGGGCTGGCACATTCTAGAAAAGTCTGTGGAGACCCATTCTCCAGGGTCACTTCTGAGGAATATAAATTGGGGTTATTTGTGAGACCTGCCGAGTTGCCGTCTGTAAACAAAGCAGGTAAGGGGAAAGGCACCCGCATGGTCATGCAATGTGAATGGAACGAGATGCTAATCAGCATGGAAATCTGTGTAATGAGTGGGAGGATGTTTATGAAACTTTTAAATGTTTGATGTGTCAGTGGAGGAGAAAGATGGCTTCCTCTTTTGCAGTGAATTTTTTTCCGCTCAGGAACCACGTATACCACATTCTAAGGGGAGAAGATACTGAATGAAAAGGTGGGAGTGTTTGTTCTTAGGTGGCATTTGAAATCTCCGTGGTAGCCGGGGAATAAGGAGCTGGAGATTGTCCAACTCTGTCACTTACTTGCTGTGTGAACGTCACACAACCGCTCTGTGCCTCAGTTTCTCCTCTGTCAGTAAATGAGCTAATGCTTTTCACCTGCCTTAGGAATATCTGTCATGATCATGAAAGATGGCCAGCAGCCTGGGGACTAAGGAGTTAACTTTACCTAACCAGGTAGATTCAGCCAATAGGAATGTAGCTAGGAATTTCAAACTGGGACAAAGGAATTTTTGGTTTTTCCCTCTCCTTTGTCCTGCGCAGTTTCTCTCCAGGTACTGAGGGAGTCAGACCTCAGTAAGTAGGGTAAAGTTTTGATAAATCCATTAGGTTTTATTGTTTATGGTTTGGGAAATGGGATCTGATGTCTGTGCATTCAGAAATGGATTGTGCTCTCCTTTGTAACTAAGCTCCTGGCCCAAGGTTTGTTTCCCCTCCAGGGCTGTGTCTAGACTGGCATGATTTTCCACAAATGCTTTTAACAGAAAAGTTTTCTGTTAAAAGCATTTGTGGAAAAAAGTGTCTAGATTGGCACTGACACTTTTCTGCAAAAGCAAAAAAAAAATCTAGACACACTTTTCTGCAAAAAAGCCCCGATAGCCATTTTCGCAATTGGGGCTTTTTTGCACAAAACAAATCTGAGCTGTCTACACTGGCCCTTTTCCCCAAACGAGAGCAGCATAGTATTTCCGCAAGAAGCACTGATTTCTTACATGAGATCGTCAGTGCTCTTGCGGAAATTCAAGCGGCCAGTATAGACAGTTGGCAAGTTTTTCCACAGAAGCAGCTGCTTTTGCGGAAAAACTTGCCAGTCTAGACACAGCATGAGTACTTCGTGACTTTTCCATCTAGTCATTATGCTTGCAACAGGAATATTGTGGTGATAATAAAAGTTCTTTCTATTTTCTTTTTATTAACCTGGTACTGGTTAATTTTTGTGTCCTGCTTGTACTTTAGGGATGAGATTTCCCTGATTTTGGTATCAATACCTGGGTGGTAGCAGTGGATCTTTTATCCCCAAAATCTACGGGTGTGTCTAGACTACAGGGTTTTGTCGACAAAAGTGGACTTTTGTCGACAAAACTATACCTGCGTCTGCACTGCCGCCGAGTTCTGTGGACATACCGTCGACAGAACTCTGAAGTTTTGTCGACGGCGGTAAACCTCATTCTGCGAGGAATAACGCCTTTTGTTGACAGAGTTCTGTCAACAGAAGGCGTTATTGCATCTACACTGTCCTTTGCATCTACACTCTCATGTCAACAAAGCGTCTTGCTTTGTTGACAGAACTGGCTGTATTCTAGACGCTCTTTGTCGACAAAAGCTTTGTCGACAGTGTCTGTCGACAAAGCCTCTGTCGACAAAAGCCTGTCATCTAGACGTACCCTAGGTTGTTAAGATTTTGGGGGGAAGTTTTATACAAAAGTCTGGTAGATGAGGTTTTGGGGTACTGTTGCTGGCCTCCACTTCTGCATTTATTGTGCCAGAGTGGGGAAGGAGCCATGACGATGTCGCTGGAGATCTGCAGGTGAGGAAGCTCTCTGAGCGTCTCCCAAGCCTGCTAGAGTGAACAGAGAGATTCTCACAGACTTCCCCGTCTCTTGGTCATGCCCTCGGTGAGCATGGTGATTAGGGTATTGGAAGGCAGGAGCGGCTCGTCCCTGTTTAGAGCTTTTCCCCGTCTTCTAATGCATCCCTGGCAAAGGTCCTTCAATCCCAATTTCTCCTCATGGACCAGGCGATTCATAACACCTCATTATTTCCTGCCAAGGGGCACTGGGTCGTTCCGAACAGCGCTGATGTCCTGGCGACAAGGGGGGACTTTCCAAGACTTTGTAGAGCGCTGACACTGATCAAAAGCTGAGAAGGCAAGCTTTCAGTGATGGACTGAAGGAGCTTGTGTTATTTAGCTCTGTGATAGGAGGTTATGGTGCAGATCAATATACTGGTTCTTTCAGGGGGAATATATGTGTAATAATAGTCTCTTCAATCCAGCATAGAAAGGTACAACACCAAACACTGACTGGAAGTTTAAGATAGGACAAATCCAACTGAGAAATTAGGGAAACAGTGAGTGTAATTAACTTTTGGAGCACATTACTATCCAGCACGATGGATTCTCCATCGCTAAGAATTGTTGAAGCAAGATTCTTTTAAAAAAACTCACTTCTCTAGATATTGTTTGAGAGAAGTTCCTGGCCCTTGGTTATGCACAAGGCAACATGAGATGATAACAACAGTCCCTTCTGGTGGGGGAACATCTCTGAAGAAGTGGGCTGTGTCCATGAAAGCTCATGATACCATCTTCATGTTTTTTTAGTCTTTAAGGTGCTACCAGACTGTTGTTTTTTAAGTTTATCCTGTACAGACTAACTCCACTACCCCCTGAAACTATTAAATCAGTGACTTTCAGTGGCCTTGATCTTTTCGAAATCCTACTATGTGCCTAAATATCTCTATAATCTCTTCCTTGGTGTCCTGCGAGCCCAAATCCAGTTTTCCATTTTCAGTGCCAGATTTTCAAAGCTATTAGGTGGGACTTTCCAAAGCATCTAACCAGTTCACTGATTAGGTGCATACACTGCTGAAGAATTTGCATAAGTCTCCAGCATTTGCATATAAACAAATTTGAAACTCCAGCCCCTAATCAGCCAACATGATTTTGCATTGAGATTTAAGCACCTACATCATAGAACCATAGAGCTGGTTGGAACATCGAATGGTCATTAAGTCCAGGCCCCTGCCCTGCCCTCACGGCAGGACCAAGCACCATCTAGATCATCCCTGGCTGGTGTTTTTCTAACCAGCTCTCAAATATCTCTAGAGATGGAAATTCCACAAGCTCCTTGGACAATTTATTCCAGTGTTTAACCACACAGATAATTAAGAAGTTTTTTCTTATGCAACCAAAACCTCCCCTTCTTCAGTTTAATCCCATTGCTTCTCCCATCCTCAGAGGTTAAAGAACTCATATTTAGCCGGTAAATCATTTCAGCATTAGTGAAGAGGTCACCGGTGACATCCAACCATCCATGTAACAAAATAGCCCCCTGAATTATGTCTCTTCTCGCTTGACAGATGGAGCCTGTGGCTGGCATAGAGAGGAGAAACCAATCCACCGCGCAAGAGTTTATCCTCCTGGGATTTCCTGGCAATCAGCAATTGCAGATCTCGCTCACTGTGGTGTTCACCACAACGTACGTCCTGATACTCACAGGAAATGTTGCCATAATAGCTCTAGTCATGGCCCATCCTTACCTCCAAACGCCCATGTACTTTTTCCTTTGCAACCTCTCCTTCCTGGAGATCTGGTACACCACAGCCTGTGTGCCTAAGGCCATTGCCGTTTTCCTGGGGAAAAGCAGAGCCATCCCCTTTCTTAGCTGCATCCTGCAGATGTACTTCGTTTTCTCCCTGGGCTGCACGGAATATTTCCTCTTGTCTGTTATGGCCTACGACCGCTATCTGGCCATTTGCTACCCATTGCACTATAGCGTCCTCATGAGCAGCACCAAGTGCACTCATCTAGCTTTTTTGTGCTGGGTGTCTGGTTTCCTAGTTATTACAATCCCATCTTCTCTGATAGCCACAATGTCCTTCTGCAACTCTAACGTCATCAACCATTTCTCGTGCACCACCGATTCCTTGATCTTCCTTTCTTGCTCAGACACCTCCATGGTTAAGTTGTCCAGTTTAATCTTGTCAGTCCTCATCATCTTGGGATCGTGTTTGATAACCCTGGCCTCCTACATTCTCATCATCTCCACCATTGTGAGGATCCCGTCTGCCCAAGGCCGGCAAAAGGCCTTTTCCACCTGCTCGGCCCATCTTATTGTTGTCATTATGTGGTATGGCTCCACCATCTTCCTGTATGTCCGGTACACCAAACAGAACGTCTTGGACATGAACAAGTTCATCAACATCCTGAACACTATTATAACGCCACTGCTAAACCCTTTCATTTATACCCTAAGGAATAAAGAGGTGAAGGAGGCTTTATCGAAGGCGTTCAGTAGGATGTGGAGTTAGCTTTGAATGGCTTTGATCTTCCTGAATTATTAGCCTGTGTGCATCTTCTTTTTAATCAGGGCCAACCCTAGACCAAATGGTGTTCCACCAAGGAGTATCTTTGATGTTCTCCCTTCATTTGTTAAACATTCGAACTCCTTATTTTATTGCCTTTGTAGCTCACGACACAACTTAGACACACAATTTCCATGCATGATTTATCGCTGTCATGTAAGACAGGTTTCACACTGGGATCCGTAAATCTGTGTTTATCTGTTCATGTCATAGAAGCAAATAAAGATATTTTGTTTCCTCTCAGAGTAAAGAAACTTTCCTGAATTTAAAGAACAACGGAAATGTGCTAACCTCTAGAAAAGGAAAGGTCCACCAACACTGAGTCAGCTTATTCTCAATCGTGTTCCAGCAGACAAGTGCGGGAGAAAGTTCTCCCTTGTCTTTTGGCTGGAAAGGTCTCTTCACTTGCTTCCATCTGTCTCTAACGGGACACTCTTATTCCGTGATGTTTAATGAGCCAGAATTCAAACATCTGCGCTCAGCACCTGCAACTATCACCAACACCAAGAGCAGAATGGCGGCCTATGTCTTTGGTCCCATGTCCCATGCTGACATGAGAAGATGAATTCTAGGGGCACGTCTGAAGACCTTCTTAAGTCTGAGCATTAGGTGCAAGGTACGTCCTTGTCTGCACAGGGTGGGTTCTACCCTAGCAAGTGCAGAATCCAGCCACTGGCTCTAGACAGGAACATGTGACAACGTTTGAGCTCGGCCCGACCACTAAGAATGGGGTGTGCCTGTTGTCACACCTGGAAACATTGTCGAGAATCTCCTGTGTAATTGAGGGCCCATAAACTCACCCCTTCTCATCCTCGCATCTCTGACACTATGAGGTAGCTTCCAACTGAGAGTCTACTCCTACCTCCGTCCAATCCCCTGCAAATCGGACTTCTATTTTCTAATGTGCCTGAAGGAATTTAGGTGCCCAAATCTCATTCATGGAAAATGGAGAAGGGCACCTAACTCCCTTAGTCTCCTTTGAAAGTCCCAACCTATATCTGTGTAAGGGGATGGAAGACCATAATTTCAGCAATGATTTTATCCGTTACTCAAATTGTATTTAGTCTTTGGCCCAGGAAATTTCCACTCTAATTACACAGAGGATGCTTGACATTGACGAGTAATCTTCACCCCTATGCAGGCGCCAAATGCTCTAAGTAGGTCAGGATTTCACAAGCACCATGACAACCTGGTAAGACTAGAGAAGCACTAGGGCTGAGTTCCACCACGGTACTAAAGAGGCCAATAGATGCCTCATGGGACATTCAAAAGAAGAAGCACTAGGGCTGAGTTTCACCACGGTACTAAAGAGACAAATAGATGCCTCATGGGACATTCAAAAGCACCTGTATGTCCAACCTGCATTGAAGTGGCTGGGATACAGAATGTACTACATTGAAGCACACTAGGAAGCTTCTAGAGCACACCAGCAGGATCTCCACGGGCCAGTCAGTCAGTGTGCAACACGGCAGTAAACTTTGTAGCGTGCAATGCAGGGCCAGATCATGAACCCTTGAGGAGCATTACCCTTGGAGCTGCATACACCTGGCGTCCTTGCAGGCATGGTTGTGTGTGTATGTGGGGTTGTCCACACCCTTTCCACAAATTCTATCCTTGTTCCAGCCCCATGCTGCCTCTTCCTACCCCAGCACCACCCTCTTCCACAATTGCTCCCCTTCTCCCAAACCCCATCCACTTAGGGATATGGCCTCAAGGACTATGGGGGGCCTGGTGCAGGGGGGGCAGCATGAGCCAGGTCCCACCACAGTACCATGGTACCAGGCATATTAGAGAAGCTCCACTCCACCACTCCATCCTGGTCATTCCATTTCACTGAGGAGGCCTATGGACAGGCTGGCTCTGCAGATACCTCCCCTGGGCCACAGGGATGTGCTGACAGCCACGGCTGGGCTGAATCTCGCCCCGGGGGGGGCCCAGTCAAGGGACACCCCATCTGTCTCCCTGTCCGGGAGTCTCTCACAGAGTCCGGGTCACGTCCACTGGCGTAAAGGGGTGTCTGAGGCTGTGGAGAATCCAGCTTGCTCAAGTGGAGATGACTCCGTCTATGGCAGAGTCGCGCCTGCCGACGTTCTTTGCTCCGATGGGAACATCCACAGTCACCTCATCCTGGGAAGGCTGGGTCTCGCCTCTGCCCACACGGAGGGAGTCCTCATTGCTGAGTGTATAACAGGGGGGTTTCCTTCAGCCTCCTGTAGAACAAGAGCAAGAGCCTTGTGACCTGCAAGTGACAATGGGAGACGTTCTCCAGGGCTTTGTCTGTGGGTTTGGAAGTCCTGAGGGCGCCTGCCCCTCGCTCCTAGGTTGGGGTGGCCACATGGCCAGAGTTAGACTACAGTCTAGCCCTGTGGGGTTGACCTGGTGGCTTTGAGGGCAGCAGTTAAACCCATGGCATGCCATAGGTTTGGCCTGGGACCTAGTTTACTTTCGGGACAGCAGGTAAACCAATAAGATCCAATAGGATTCACCTGGTGGCCAGTTTGCTTTTAGGCCAGCAGGTCAACCTGTCGGATCCACTGGGGTTGACCTGGTGGGTGGCTTGGTTTTGGGCCAAGAGGTCAACCCATAAGATCCAAGGGGATTGACCTGGTGGCTATTTTGGTTTCAGGTCATCAGATCAACCCATAGGACCCAATAGAGATGGTGTGATGTCACAAAACCAAAATAGCCACCAGGTCAACTTTCTTGGATCTTATGTGTTCACCTGGCCTATGTCTAGACTGCAAGCCTCTTTCGAAAGAGGCTCTTTCGAAAGAGAGCGTCTAGACTGCACGTTGAACTTTCGAAAAAGTGGCTTGCTTTTTCGAAAGAAAGCATCCAGTGAGTCTGGATGCTCTCTTTCGAAGAAGCCCTATTTACATTGAAGAACGCCTTCTTTCAAAAGAGGAACTTTCGAAAGAAGGCGTTCTTCCTCGTGAAATGAGGTTTACCGCCATCGAAAGAAAAGCCGCGTTCTTTCGATTTAATTTCGAAAGAACGCGGCTTGAGTCTGGACGCAGGTGAGGTTTTTTCGAAAAAAGGCCTGAGTCTGGACACAGCCCTGGTGGCCAGTTTGCTTTTAGGCCAGTAGGTCAACCCTTAGGATCCAATGGGGTTGACCTGGTGACTGGTTCATTTTTAGGTGACCAGGAGAACCTTTGGGTTCCAAGGTTGACCTGGTGGCTGATTTGCTTTGGGGCCAGCAGGTCAACCAATAGGATTCATAGAATCATAGAATAATAAGACTGGAAGGGACCTCAAGAGGTCATCGAGTCCAGCCCCCCCGCCCTCAAGGCAGGACCAAGCTCCGTCTATACCATCCCTGACAGATGTCTAAATTCAATGGAGTTTACCTGGTGGTTGGTTTTCTTGACCATCACACGTTTGGCGCATTGCTGTCCCCCCCTTTCTCTGTCCCTTGGGACGGGGCTAAACAGCCTGGGAATCAGGGGCAGCACCGACTGAGGCTTCCAGGCCCACTGACTGTTTTAGGAGCCTCTGAATGGACTCTTGGCTACTAAGTGTCCCCTTTTGCAAATGAGATTTAGGCTCCTAAATCAGTTAGGCATTGCAGTGCTGAGCCCTGTGGTCAATCTGGGCCTTTAACAGGCCCAAAATGTTGGTTTTTTTGCCTTTGGCAAATGTCTTTTCATTGCTATGTTGGAAGCCAAACTCATCATCTCTCGTGTGAATGAAGAGGAAATGTTGCGATGCAGGATGTGTCCCGACGAACCCCCAGAGTTAAGATCCCAGAAGCTCTGAATGGAGATGCAGGAGGCTGTGGGAATCTTCCCTCGTTTGCAGTGACCTTGCGGGGCTAGTGCCAAGTTTTCCAGGCGTGCATGAGTCAGGAGATCTCTCTACTTAGGAGAAATTATTAAGAAATTATTCAACTATGCTCTATCTAAAGGTTTTTAAGTTTTGGCTTGACAAAGCCCTGGTTGGGTTGATTTAGTTGGGTTTGGCAGGGGGCTGGACTTGATGACCTCCTGAGGTCTCTTCCAGCTCTATGATTCTATTATTCTATTTTATCAAGTCAAATATTCAGATGTTTTCATGATATAAGAGGATACCACAAGGTGATATTTTATTGAAACTCATTATTGGCTGCTGAGTGGTTTCAAACCAATATTGTAACATGCAGTTGACTCTGAATTGTACTTACAAAGAACACACAAGGAAACTCAGAGATATTTCTGTTGTAATTGAGGTTGAAAAATTCAAAGGTGCTTTCAGAGTTAAGTACCCAACTTCCATTGAGTTCCAACAGGTTTGAGTTCTTTTACACAATTTTGAAAGTCCCAAAGATCTTTTCCTTTCTTTCTTTCTTTCTTTCTTTCTTTCTTTCTTTCTTTCTTTCTTTCTTTCTTTCTTTCTTTCTTTCTTTCTTTCTTTCTTTCTTTCTTTCTTTCTTTCTTTCTTTATAACAGAAAGTCCATAACATAGCATTATTTACATTGATTTATTTGCCAGCTTTCCTCATATATTTCTTAGAAAGGCTCTTTAGGAATGTTTAGATAGATAGATAGATAGATAGATAGATAGATAGATAGATAGATAGATAGATAGATAGATAGATAGAGGGGGTATATGGGGCTAGATAGATAGATTTCTTTTAATATGATTTGCAGTGCATGCAAATGGAAAATATATTACTAAAGAAAATAACTGAGCCCATTGCTGGTTAAAATAATTATTAAAAGTGATACAAAGTTACTTTTAAAGTTTTCTTGTGGGAGCTGATACTGCCCTAAGAAGCTTCTTCAGAGCCTCATGAACTTCCTTGTTTCTCAGACTGTAGACAATGGGGTTCAGCATTGGGGTCCCCATGGTATAGAGCAGCGAGATGACCTTGCTGAGGACCAGTGAGCGGTCTGACGAAGGCACCACGTACATTGCAATCAGTGTCCCATAGAAGGTGCTAACAATGATGAGGTGGGAGGAGCAGGTGGAAAAGGCCTTTTGCCTGCCCATGGTGGAAGGGATGCCCAGGATGGCCCTGAGGATACAGACGTAGGACGCCAGGATAAAGAGGAACGGGATCAGTGACACAGCTGAAGAGAAGATGAAAACCATTATCTCAACCAAGTATGTGTCGGAGCAGGAGAGCTTTATCAGAGAAGTGATGTCACAAAAGAAATGGTCAATCTCATTGGGACCACTGAAACTTAAATTAGACAACAAACAGATGGTTATTGATGTTCCTACAAAGCCACTAGCCCAGGATCCAGCTGCTAACTGAGTGCAGACCTTGCTGTCCATGAGCACCATGTAACGCAGTGGATGGCAGATAGCTAAATAGCGATCATAGGACATGATGGTGAGGAGGAGACATTCAGCCACTGCCAGGGCACCAAAGACGTAAAACTGCACCATGCAGGCTGGAAACGATACCGTGTTGTCCTTGGTTATCATGCCAAAGAGCAGCCTAGGGGCAAGGTTTGTCGCGTAGCAGACTTCCAAGAAGGATAAATTTCCTAGAAAGAAATACATCGGGGTGCGGAGACTGTGGTCACTCAACACACAAATTACAATGAGGAGGTTCCCAATTATTGTCACAAGATAGGTAGCTAAAAAGACCCAAAAGAGGAAACTCTGGAGTTTTTCAGTACTTGAAAATCCCACGAGGATGAATTCAGTGATGGCTGTTTGATTTTCTTTGCACTTCTTTGCCAATTGAACATTTCCTAGGGAAAATAACATGATAGTATAATTACTAAAGCATAGGCCTGGTAGAGTTTCATTGTTATTATTGTAGGATTTTGACAGTTAATATTTATTTAAAAGTATTTTCTTTTTCTTTTTAACGAATTTACATTTTCACAGTTGTGGGAAATTATGAGGGGTGGGTCAGAAAATAATTGTGTAATGACAGCCAATTCTGAGAGTCCAAACGTTAAAGCCTGATAACCATTAAAACACGAAGTGGCAATATTTCATGTCAAAATAAACAGAGTAAATGTCATTCAATCAAACTCCCAATAATTTTCAAGCTGCATTTTTCTTATTTTGCCTATCCGTAAATGAATATTATCCTGGAAAGGGGTTTGCATTTCTTTCTGTGTACACAGGAAAATCTCCATCCCTAGAGGTTTTTAAGTCTTGGTTTGACCAACTCCTGGCTGGGATGATTGAGTGGGGGTTGGTCCTGCTTTGGGCAGCGGACTGAACTCAATGACTCCTGAGGTCTCTGTCAGCCCTGTGATTCTATGATCAAAGTTTATGGACACTTAATGATAAAAAGTTTTTATCTCTCATGGCCTAGTCATATTACAGTAACACTTATTGGATCTAACCAACATCAGAGACACAGTGGCTGTGTCTAGACTGGCAAGTTTTTCCGGAAAATCATCTGCTTTTCCGGAAAAGCTTGCCAGCTGTCTACACTGGCCGCTTGAATTTCCGGAAAAGCACTGACGATCTTATGTAAAATCATCAGTGCTTTTCCGGAAATACTATGCTGCTCCCGTTCAGGCAAAAGTCTTTTTCCGAAAGACTTTTGCGCAAAAGGGCCAGTGTAGACAGCATAGTACTGTTTTCCGCAAAAAAAGCCCCGATCGTGAAAAAGGCAATCGGGGCTTTTTTGCGGAAAACCATGTCTAGATTGGCCACGGACGCTTTTACGCAAAAAGTGCTTTTGTGGAAAAGCATCCTGCCAATCTAGACGCGCTTTTCCGAAAATGCTTTTAAAGGAAAACTTTTCCGTTAAAAGCAGTTTCAGAAATTCATGCCAGTGTAGACGTAGCCAGTGTGTTTCCTGCAGTAGAAAGAGATAGTGGTGTTAAGTAAAGCTTACATACATAGAGTGAAAAAACGTGTCTCTTTCACCTCACCCATCTTGTTTCAATAGCAGTACACAAATGAGACCCTCTTCTAAAACAAATTAAGCAATGGGCTTAAATTGCAGCAAGGGAGGTTTAGGTTGGACATTAGGAAAAACTTCCTGGCTGTCAGGGTGGTTAAACACTGGAATAAATTGCCTAGGGAGGTTGTGGAATCTCCATCTCTGGAGATATTTAAGAGCAGGTCAGACAGACACCTGTCAGGGATGATCTAGATGGTGCTTGGTCCTGCCATGAGGGCAGGGGACTGGACTTGATGATCTCTCAAGGTCCCTTCCAGTTGTATGATTCTATGAAAATGCATATTATTTAAAGAAGGACAACATTCCCAGTGTGAAGAAAACATGCATTGGTCCCTCTTTTACAGTGGAGGAACTGATGCATCAGAAGGGCCAATTTACAAAGGGGTTTATGCACCTAAAGATGGAGATAAGAACATACTTGGATTTGTACTGAAATCAAGGTTAACATGCTTGAGTTCTTTTCTCCTTTGGGTATCAGTCTGCATCTTTGAGCACATACACAAAATTACTTGGCCAAGACATATTCCAGTCTGGAAATGAACCCAGTTGCGTGCAGAAAACTAAGTTGACTAGTAGGCTACAATATTAAGACTATAATTGCACATTTACAGTTAATCACATGCCTAACCATGGAGACAAGTGCAAGTCGAAATGTAATGGTTTGTTTACAAAAGTACTTCCATCCGACACAGTCTTCACTTCGTGCTCTTACGGTTCTTTTCTTCAGAGGGGAAATACTTTTCTCCCCATGAAACAGATGAGAATGCAGAAGCAGGGCAAATATTTTGTGCTCTTACGGTTCTTTACTTCATAGGGGAAATATTTTTCTCCCCATGAAACAGATGAGAATGCAGAAGCAGGGCAAATAGTTTAAGAAAGAAAGAAAGAAAGAATATATGTTATAGACAGGAACAAACACAAGCTAGAGCTATGTGATAATTTTTCAGATAAAAACTGTTGGTGTTTATTCATATGAAAAAGGATCTTTTATTTTCAAAAAATAAGATTGCAAAATTGCTATCTGTAAATTGTTGGTGCTTTTAATTTTTGTTAAACAAAACAGTCTGCCTTTCTTCTGTGAGAATTTTCAATGAAAATTTCAGAAATGAGAGAGAGAGAGAGAGAGAGAGAGAGAGAGAGAGAGAGAGAGAGGAATCTCCATCACTGGGGATATTCAAGAGCAGGTTTGATAGACATCTGTCAGGGATGATCTAGATGGTGCTTGGTCCTGCCGGGAGGGCAGGAGACTGGACTTGATGAACTCTCGTGGTTCCTTCCAGTTCTATTATTCTATAATCTCTCTCTCTCTGTCTCCCGATACATGCCATCTGTCTATCTATGTAGCTATGATAGAGAGAGAGAGAGATATTCCATTTCATCCCCTTCAAAACAAAACAAACTTCTAAATGTTGAGCTCTTTCCTCTGCATTTTACGTGATTGCATTTCACAGACAAGTTTTTGACTGAACTACGATCGTGCTCTAGACACTCAAATGCAACATTTCCTATCTCGGCTGTGGTGGTGCTTACCTTTCATTCTCCCTCGTCGTACCTTTTCCTTCTTCATTGATAGTCTTTGACTCCCTTAGGTCTGTTGCTGTCCTTCCCTTCCTATATGCTCTCTTCCCCAACTTCCCAAACAGTTTCTCCTCTTGAAAGCACGTGGTAGGAGCGGTGTCAAACATCCTATTACATCTCTTCTTGGGCTAAGCCCCATTGGACTTAATTACAATGTTGGTATTTTTTAGTGCATTTCATACATTAACCATTTAAGAATCTAATTTCAAAGGGAATATTTGTCATTTGGCTTCCTGGTACTACCCAACAAGTCTCAATTTTCCTTCCAAAAGTTTATTGGTTATCAGAAAACTGATCCCTTAAAACAGACTACTTTTTTATGTATGATGTATTTTGTTCATTTGTTTTCCATTTCTGCTGGGTCCCAAATTTGGTGCTTTCTGCAGTTGCTCTCATGGCTCTTTAATTGTCCTCTGCCCATTTCTTGGCTTTCAGGTTTTCTTTTGATGGACAGAAATTTGAAATTTTTCAGTAGAGATGTTGACTGAGTTCAACTACTGCTGCTATTCTGTGAGCATATTCAATTTCTAGCAGATAGTGAGGTCTGTTGCTACGAAGTCAATGGTCTGACGGTTCATCAGATTCCTCTCTTAGACGGTAACATCTTCTGGACAAGAGATTGTGTCTTGTGAAGTGGTGTATACATCACCAAGAAACAAGGGACTTGGTGTTGATTCTCGTCTCTGGACGTCACCGCTATATAAGTCAATTCACCAAACACCACCACAATACCCAAATCAAGCTTAGGAGCAGCTGCTGGTGTCCACAATGGGGGTCTGAGAGGGTAGTTGCGGAAATGACTCAATTCTCATGGATTTACATATTACAAGGAAACAGAAAGGGGGGTGGGAAGAGAATGTTGCCTGCAGTGAGGAATAACAGTGATAAGCATCTTCCACAGATCTAGAACGTATGGTGGCCAGGCATAGGGTATGTCCCCACTGCAATAAAACACCCGTGGCTTTCCTATGTCCAATTATTTTCAGGTGTTCATTTGTTTTCCATTTCTGCTGGGTCCCAAATTTGGTGCTTTCTGCAGTTGCTCTCATGGCTCTTTAATTGTCCTCTGCCCATTTCTTGGCTTTCAGGTTTTCTTTTGATGGACAGAAATTTGAAATTTTTCAGTAGAGATGTTGACTGAGTTCAACTACTGCTGCTATTCTGTGAGCATATTCAATTTCTAGCAGATAGTGAGGTCTGTTGCTACGAAGTCAATGGTCTGACGGTTCATCAGATTCCTCTCTTAGACGGTAACATCTTCTGGACAAGAGATTGTGTCTTGTGAAGTGGTGTATACATCACCAAGAAACAAGGGACTTGGTTTTGATTCTCGTCTCTGGATGTCACCGCTATATAAGTCAATTCAGCAAACACCACCACAAGACCCAAATCAAGCTTACGAGCAGCTGCTGGTGTCCACAATGGGGGTCTGAGAGGGTAGTTGCGGAAATGACTCAATTCTCATGGATTTACATATTACAAGGAAACAGAAAGGGGGGTGGGAAGAGAATGTTGCCTGCAGTGAGGAATAACAGTGATAAGCATCTTCCACAGATCTAGAACGTATGGTGGCCAGGCATAGGGTATGTCCCCACTGCAATAAAACACCCGTGGCTTTCCTATGTCCAATTATTTTCAGGAATAACGGCATTGCACAAGAGGGTTTTTCTTGCGCAAGAAGGGGCAGTGTAGACAGCTCCTTCTGGCGCAAGAGCCTCTTCTGCAAAAATGGCAGCTCATAGGTATGCAAATGAGGCTCGGCACTATTCCACGCTTAGCCTCATTTACATAGTGTAGACATAGCCCTAGTGTGGTTACTGAGCAATGCAAGTGAGACCTAGACCACAGCAACAGTTAAGACCAAGAGCCCTCTACAGCATGGGTTAGGAAGCAATTGGCCTTTAGCTCAGCGAGTAGAAGCGCTTATATTCTGCTTCATAGGTCCCAGGTTCAAATCTACCCTGTAGCGGTTACAAGTGGGGGTTTGGCCAGAATCTCAACTGGGTCTCTGAAGCTCAGGACAGTCTGAGAGGGTAGTTGCGGAAATGACTCAATTCTCATGGATTTACATATTACAAGGAAACAGAAAGGGGGGTGGGAAGAGAATGTTGCCTGCAGTGAGGAATAACAGTGATAAGCATCTTCCACAGATCTAGAACGTATGGTGGCCAGGCATAGGGTATGTCCCCACTGCAATAAAACACCCGTGGCTTTCCTATGTCCAATTATTTTCAGGAATAACGGCATTGCACAAGAGGGTTTTTCTTGCGCAAGAAGGGGCAGTGTAGACAGCTCCTTCTGGCGCAAGAGCCTCTTCTGCAAAAATGGCAGCTCATAGGTATGCAAATGAGGCTCGGCACTATTCCACGCTTAGCCTCATTTACATAGTGTAGACATAGCCCTAGTGTGGTTACTGAGCAATGCAAGTGAGACCTAGACCACAGCAACAGTTAAGACCAAGAGCCCTCTACAGCATGGGTTAGGAAGCAATTGGCCTTTAGCTCAGCGAGTAGAAGCGCTTATATTCTGCTTCATAGGTCCCAGGTTCAAATCTACCCTGTAGCGGTTACAAGTGGGGGTTTGGCCAGAATCTCAACTGGGTCTCTGAAGCTCAGGACACTTTCTTACCTTAGGGAAGGATGTAATCCACACATCTAGTGGGGTTACTGAACAATGCAAGTGGTACCTAGACCACAGTAAGAGTTAAGACCAAGAGCCCTTTAGAGCAGGGGCTGGTGGCTAGCTGGCTTTTTTGATTCTCGTCTCTGGATGTCACCGCTATATAAGTCAATTCAGCAAACACCACCACAAGACCCAAATCAAGCTTACGAGCAGCTGCTGGTGTCCACAATGGGGGTCTGAGAGGGTAGTTGCGGAAATGACTCAATTCTCATGGATTTACATATTACAAGGAAACAGAAAGGGGGTTTTCTTGCGCAAGAAGGGGCAGTGTAGACAGCTCCTTCTGGCGCAAGAGCCTCTTCTGCAAAAATGGCAGCTCATAGGTATGCAAATGAGGCTCGGCACTATTCCACGCTTAGCCTCATTTACATAGTGTAGACATAGCCCTAGTGTGGTTACTGAGCAATGCAAGTGAGACCTAGACCACAACAACAGTTAAGACCAAGAGCCCTTTACAGCATGGATCAGGAAGTAACTGGCCTTTAGCTCAGAGAGTAGAAGTGCTTATACTGTGCTTCATAGGTCCCAGGTTCAAATCTACCCTGTAGCAGTTACAAGTGGGGGTTTGTCCAGAGTCTCAACTGGGTCTCTGAAGCTCAGGACACTTTCTTACCTTAGGGAAGGATGTAACCCACACACCTAGTGGGGTTACTGAGCAATGCAAGTGGTACCTAGACCACAGCAAGAGTTAAGACCAAGAACCCTTTAGAGCAGGGGGCTGGTGGCCAGCTGGCTTCTAGCTCAGAGGGTAGCAGACCTATACTCTGCTTCATAGGTCCCAGGTTCAAAGCCACCCAATGGCAGTTACACCAGCATGTTTTTCAGATCTTTTCAAAAAGGTGACGGGGGTCTTCTCGACCATTTGTGCTCCTCACACGGAATTTGTGTGGCCACCACAGTGCCACTGGTGTGTTTAGCGACAACCCACTCTGTCAACACAGGCCTGCACAAACCAGGATGCACCTTGTTCCAAACGGCAAAAGTGCTTAGCTGTCCGGAGGTCTTTGTGCCTTGAACATCGGGGGTAACAATGCCGAGGCTTGCCCGGACTGAACTGAACACCCCAAATAAATATGTAGCTGCCTTTTTATTACTCACTTTGACTGGGAAGATCCTTGGGGCCACAGCCTCGCCCTAGAGACTACAACTCCCAGGATGCCTTGGGGCGAGAGAGGGAAACTGTTCCTGTCTCCCAGGCAGTGCAGGCAGGGAGCTGGGGGGGTCCATTTTGGAGAGAGGAGCCGACCAGGCTGGAGCTTTTTTCTGGCCAGGGGCTGCTGCTGGGAGCCGGAGCCTGCTGGAGATCGGATCTCGCCAGCTGCTGGGGATGGTCCCTGGAGGGGAGAGGCCCGGGCGGTGCCGTGGCTGTGGAGAAGGTGAGGTGAGTAACTGGGGCTGTTGGGGGACCTGTGGCCTGGCATGGAGCCCAGAAGCCAGATGGCCTCCGGGGCCGACGAGCGGCCAAGTGAGCTGCCCAGGGAAGCAGAGCTGCTGGTGTTTGGGGGGATTGGGCAGTTGTTGCTTTGCCTGGACACACACAGAGTTGTTGTTTTGTCTGGACTCTCACTCTCTCACACACATGTGCAGCTGTTGCTGTGCCTGGACAAACACACACACACAGTTGTTGCTGGTCCTGGACACACTCTCTCTCTCACACACACACACTCATACACACACACACACACATGCAGTTGTTGCTATGCCTGGACACTCTTTTGCTCTCACACACACAATGTTGTTGCTTTGCCTGGACTTTCACTCTCTCACACATACACATGTGCAGTTGATGTGCAATCTCCATTCATTTAAAAAAAAAAATGTTATGCCTGGACTCACTCACACACATACACACATACAAACGCAGTTGTTGCTGTGCTTGGACGCTCTCTCACACACACACAGACACAGTTGTTGCTGTGCCTGGGCGTACATGTGCACACACTCACATTCATACACACACACACATGCATGCCCCCTCCTGCCCCTGCTGTTTCCACTCCAAGCGTACCCTGGCCAGCATGTGCCAGGGACTCTGAGATCACGAGGGGTGCACACGGTGGGCTGGGATGCACGGGGGCCACGTCAGTTGCGAGGGGCGTTGGTTGGTTGGTTGTGGATTGATTGGTTGGTTGTTGGTTTGTTGTGGGTGGGTTTGTTGTTGTGGGTGGGTTGATTGGTTTGTTGTTGTAGGTGGGTTGATTGGTTTGTTGTTGTGGGTGGGTTGTGGGTGGGTTGATTGGTTTGTTGTGGGTGGGTTGATTGGTTGTGGGTTGGTTGATTGGTTTGTTGTTGTGGTGGGTTGATTGG